TGTCTCAAGGACATTCATAATAGTGCTCAGAGATCATATTCACACTCTATGTACAATAAATAATACAGAAAAATAATATATAATATATATATATATACAATAAATAAGAACAAAACAACCCAAAAACAAATAAATAAAAAGAACACATACATACCTATAAACAATATTTACAATCTGGCGAGAGAACTCCTAACCAGACTTGTCCCTCCAACTGTGGAGGGAAAAGTTAGTATATAAAATTAATAAAAATAAATTAAATATCTTAATAACTATAATAAAAGTAAATGTGTATAAACAAAACAAAACTAAACTAATCAAAATAACAACTTAAATACAAGCATACTTTTATACAATAATTAATCGTTTACATTTCCTACTTTATCTTACATAATCTGTATATTACTTATAATAATTTATTATGTAAGATAATATCTATATATTACCTGTATTAAATTGAAATTAAATTCATATGGGCTGAATTGTCCTGGGCATAATAACAATAGTCGATTGCTAAAACCTCCGTTTATAAGATTATATTTATTTAAACCTGTTTACATGTAATTTTAAATAATTTCAAACTACATTTTATTTGTACAATTATGCATAACTATTTGTTACAAGTTATATATAACTGTTAGTTTTTTAATTTTTTTTTCGAAAGGAGAAAGGATCTTTTTCATTGCTTGATCACGTGATGTGTTTTTTTTTTTTTTGTTTTTTTTTAGAACATACACATTTCCTTTTTCGGCCCTTTTCTAGTTTAAACACGACAGTAAATATTTTTAACTTTAGTTATTTCATAGTTGTGAATAGATCCTTTTAAAAATATTTCGTGACTCAAAATTGATAAAAATTCTACAAACATCTATTATATTAAACTTATGAAAAGAGTAGTTCATTTAAAGGTTATTTCAAGTGCAGAGATGAATTTATTCCAACTAAGTGCCGCTTTAGGAAGTGACAAGAAAGTAATTCTGTGCCTTTAGAAAAGTGAATAAATATTTATCTATTAATGTTAGGTTTATTTTCTAGTCACATGTTTAAGCAACTATTCATAACTGTGAAATAACTAAATTGAAAAAAAAAAATTCACTGCTGTGTTAAAGTATAAAAGAGCTCTTTTTCGTTTCAATTTTTTTAAAATTATCCTTCAACATATTATAGGTCTTATTTTATTGGTGAATGAATCACAAATATTACAGCGAATTTCTGTTTATTCCTATATATGCCTATTTCAAGGTTGCGTGCGCAAGTAACATACGTAGGTGTTTTTAGATCCGCACAACCGTTCAGTGTTGCGGGTAGTGTATAGCCGGCCCCGTGTCTAAAACTTGTCATTTGGACATCTTTTTTTTAACCTCTATATTCAATACCTTAAAATAGAATGACATTAATTACAGTCGTTTAATTAAGGTCTTACTTTTCATTTTTACCTATAGGTCAATTTATTACCTATTTTTTTATTGAGTTACATACATTCTTTCTCAATTAAGAACATTGAAACAGTGGTAAAAGAGTTCATCTATACCATATTTATATGATTTTAGTCTTAAAAGCATTATTCTGAAAACTTTCGTTAATAATGTGAGTAAGCCTGTGCCGCATATGTGACAGGTTAATCTTGCTTAAGTAGTTTATATTACAACCAATTAGTTTAGTTAACTTGGTTAACCGCTGAAACTAGATCTAACACTTGTGGCATAGAATTGTTGTTAGTTTGAATTACCTTATATCATCTTAACTTTCAACCAGACCGAAACCATTTTGTTATCGTACATTAGGTATTGAATTGAAATTTGAAAATGCATGTATTCGTACTTGAAGTTTTAGCACCTGTGATTTTTTTTTCTTTCATAGGCTTCCTTCAAAATCTTAAGTGGTTAGTACATAACGTTGTTCTATTCTTCTATTTACTCTGTTTGTTAGTAGCATTTAATAGCTTTTTTATATTTCTGATGTTCGGTGTGCAGCACAAATAATTAGCGCGAAAATTTGTATTATGTTTAATTAAAATCTACTATTTTAATTCCCCAAATAAACTTGCCTTCTTCCAACAAAATTTATAAAAAAAACAGAAGTTCGTATAATTCAGATATATGTGTGTGTGTGTGTTTTTGTATTTATGGATAGGAGAAAAATTTTCCATAAGTGTATAATTCAGATATATGTGTGTGTGTGTGTGTGTGTTTTTGTATTTATGGATAGGAGAAAAATTTTCCATAAGTGCAACAAACAGAAAGACGCACAACAGTGTGTTTACTCACTAAAAAACTACCTCCCAGTTCTTCTTTACTACCCCCACGGAACTGCTGTCTACTTGCATTACTTCGCTAGGGATAGATGTACTATATGCCTACTTCTTCTGAGGACATCTTATTATAGCTAAGCCATTGCCTGGCCTATACTTTCTCGCTGTCGTGCTCTGAGCCTTCTGGCTTTAATTTCTAACTCTTCCTTTTATCGAGCAAAACCTGAAAATCCGAAGAACGTATTTTTGACTGTTTCCTTCACAGGATCTCAAGTTGGCCACGATTCTCTATCCTGCAGTTTGAAGCGGGTTAAGTAGGCCTCGAAGCATCCATGCTCTGTAATCAGTTGGGCGAGGCAATAATAATGGAGAAGGTATTCGGAATGTTGATACATCAGGAATCAGACGTTGGGTCGGTTTTCCAGAATGTGAGTCATTCCAGTGTCTCTGCAACTCTGATATGACTTCTCTCTGCTTAATCATATTTTCTTTTGTTAACATAGCCCAGTTTGCATCCGGCTCTTCTAGTTTTCTTCGAGACATACGGCTGCGTTCATCTGCCAAAAGATCAATCGGAGGCACATCTATGCTGACGCACTATTTTGTACTTCTGTTAATACATCGTAGGACACGCTGGGCATTTCTTCAATATACTGATAACTTTACCGACATATAACTGCACGTTTATCTGCCCAGATCGGTGCTGTTTAAAAAGCGTAGAATTGGCCACTTTAGTTAGAAGCTTTCTCTAATTTTCCTTTTGTCCTCCGATATTTGGCAAAATCCTAGTCAATCATTGATCACCGAATTCTGGCATCCCGAAATATCTAACAAATGGCTTGGATAAGATGTCAAACTACCCGACGGTGAGAGTTATTACCTCCCTCACTTTTCTAATAGTTATTAACTATACTGCATCAGTTTTATGATCTGCAAGCTGGAGGCCTACCGCTGAAAGCCATCGATGAATGGAGAGAGCTACCTTGTTCGTATTATGAGGTATAACTATCTCCTCGAATAGTTTGAAGCGAACTATGATTAGCATATCGTACACAAAGCTGATCGTAATAGTTTCTTCTAGCAGGAGTTGCCTGTGCACCGTGTCTTACATAATGTTTCACAGCGATGGCCCTAAAACTAAATCTTGAGGAACGCCACCCGTGATCTTCTAACATTTCTTTCCATAATGGTAGATAGTATTTAGGGCATGAATTTTTTTTTTTTCGACTAGAGTATAGTCACAAGAAAAATGTATTATCCGTAATGTGGATTATATTTTTAAAATTCTCATTTTTTCTTTGGTTTGAGATACCATGTGTAAGTATAAGATGAATATAAATTATCAATAATTGGATTTTTTTTTATGTTTTCTTTATATACCTTATAGATCTTTTGTACCCTTATGAGAATAATTTTATCCAGCCTTTGGGAAATATGGTTGTGTATTTACTCAAAGGATTGGTATATTGTTAATGAAATAAATGACTATGAATGTTAAAAAAGGGTGTGGAAGTCCTAGACACTTACCCTTTCTACTACACTTGTCGGCTCTTAAGTATATTTTCCTCCATGTTATCTGAAAATTCTGAGTTTCGTTCGGGAATAAATGTCATCCGACCACTGCACTAACTTTTAGTATCGATAGACGTTAGTTTCACTTATAATCCACCAATGTGTTTCAATTAATATGTAAGTACATGCTCTTTAAATTGGATATGTTTACACATTTTTTTTTTTAAATCACCTTGCATCGTTTATCTCACTCCTTCGGTCATTCTGATTATCTGTAAAATGCTTATCCTTCATAATTTTCTAAATATGACCTGATAACTCGAGTCCTATTGAAGAAAGGCGGTTACATAGAATAGGCCAACGAATCCAGTTTAATAACGGAGAAAATTCCCAATAATCCGCCGGAGTTGCCCAACAGTCCTCGAGAGTGCCTTTACCCCGACCAATTTTCCTCCCGAAGCAATAAATATTTTCATTACAATCCGCCTAGCTAAGCCTCCGCTGGCTATTACGATCAATAATTTATTTTATCATCTCCGTATGTGGTAATTCTGTTGTGTTTGTATTAAAACTTATATAAACACTAGCAAGCAGGCAAATACTCATTTATTAAAGTTTTGTATTTTAATATATAGTTTTGTAAATTGAATTTCACAATATTAAAACGTAATATATAAATATTAAACGAGGAGATCTGGCTAATTAAATGTTAGCATTTGGGCATAACTAATTAAATGTAAATATTCATTTATTTTCATTCCGATTATTTTTAGAATGAGAATTCTACAACAGTAAAATGTGGTATCATCATTAACTGAGATTATTTTTTTTATTGTAGCGTACATTGGCACATGTCTGTAGTAATCATTTTTAATAATACTTTATACTTACTTAAGCCCGAGGTAAAACTTATTTTATAATTTTATCTCACCGCCATTTATAATGGGAGGTCATATTCAGTTGGTTACCGATTTTAACAAAATGTTTCAATGTTTTTTCATCGAAAAACATTAGACACGCTTCTCCAGCGTTCTTTTCAATGGGCCAATAGATACAAATATATTTTATGTAATAAAAAAAAATGGCACAAACCCGATCTCCGTGAACAAATTGAACCCAAATATATAAAATATGAGTGTTCGAGATGTTTTCCTTTATTTCTAGCTTGACTTATCTCCGATGGTCTTTGGTCCGCGCAGAACCCTGGCCTCCACAATCCTTCTCCACTCCATCCTGAATCATGTTCCTCCAATTCCTCATTCCAAGCGTCCTCAGGTCCGCTTCCACATCTTCCAGCCAGCGCAGTCTTGGACTTCTTCTCTTTCTGCTTCCTCCTGGATGTCACCATCATCTTCTTCAGGTGAACCATATAAGTCCATCAACTCCCTATGTGTTCGCAACCTCCACTGGTCTCCTTCCTAAGTCGGGCCAAATATCAAATATCCTGGGCAGAAATTATCTTTCCAACTTGCTCACGCTGTCGCTCATTTTTACAGTTATGGTCCACGTTTCACTTCCGTAGTGGACCACAGGCCTAAGGATTGACTTGTATACTTGTACCTTCAGGGTTCTTCTAAGATCCTTCTTCAGTTAAATATTTTTTAGAGATTAGAAGCACCTATTACCAGCCCTACTCTAGTTGTTCTCAGGTATTTAAACTTATTACTTATAAAGAAACAAAATCTAAATGCTATTGATATGGGCTGGAAGACCAGTAATTTAGCATGCTGAAGGTTGTTTTAACGTTGAATTTGGAGAAAATACTCAGGGATTGTGAATCCTCTATTTAACTACCGAATAAAAAAAAACTGGTGCAAATTATTACAGGATGATTTATTATTTCCAAACAATTTAACGTCAAAATTAACATTACTTTCCATGTAACATTAAGGCAAATAAATAAAAATGGATTGGTTTATATAGTTTTATTTTTTATCATTGATAATTTGCTTTATAAATAGACAACATTGGGTGTATAACTTTCAAAACATAAAAAACTAGATACATCTCTTCTTATACATCAGAGCTTATAAGCCCTAGAATAGAATATATAAAACATATTTAGAACACCATATCTTTGCCCCAAATTGTCCGATTCCAACTAATTTCTTTTTTCTTTTTTTTTTGTGAAATTCGTAAAAATAACCATGTACAACATTCACAAAAAAGTGTAAACTTCTGCAGTCATTCGGAAATGTAATTTTACTGCCCCTCGTAACTTTTTTCCCAGCTTCTTTTCGTCGAAGTACGTTATATAAATAAATTTAAAGGTCATCTAGGAGATAAAGTCTTCTCCTAGCCAAGTTTCATTGAAATTGGTAAATTCGTTTTGGCGCTACAGTCTATACCAGCAAAGGTTTTTCGGCTGCAATCTTGGAAAGAAAGGGCGGATAATAATGTCGAGATAGGAGGATCATCCTCTGGTGACCTCTGACTTTAATTCAATATTTGAAAAAAATCGGACCATTAGTCTCGGAGAAAAGCCGCAGACGGTGGACAGACAAAAAAAAATGTATTCGAATTTCGAATTATACCTATCGTGAAACGTAAAACCTCAACTTTTGAGGGGAAGGATAAATTAATTTTTTTTTTGTATGATTACAATGGTTCATTATTGATAATAATAAACCAAATAATCATTCAACAAAATCAAGTAGTAAAATTTTAATTTTTACAAAATTCATATTTAAGAGTTTTAAAAGACACTAAAAACCAATTTTACTTGATTTTTCGTGACGAAAATTTGTTTAGCTTACTTCATGGAAGCGTCTTTTGGTTTTTGTAGTGTATGATACATTATAACTCTTTTAATACTATACGCAATGTTTTTTGATATTCTGCACTATTTTACACAATAGCAATCGATTGGTATATAAATAGCACAATATATATATATATATAACCTTAAAATATAGACATAATTAAGGTATTAAAAAATAATATAATTCTTTTAATTCCATAGTATTCTCGGCTCCTAAGGCTCGGAACATGTGACCAATGTTTTTCGAATGTAGATTCACTAAAAAAAAAAAAAATTGGTTGAAATCAGTGACCCACTCACTATGACCTCCCCTTGTTTGTATTATTAATTAATTGATTATAAATATAATGTTAATTTATGGATTTAATCCAACTTTAAGAGACACGATTACTGACTTCCTCAGATAAGCGTTATTTCTAGGTGCCACTTATTAACTATGATATCCATTTTCCAGCTGACATATACGACGAGACCGTGCAGAAGCTGAACGCTCTCAAGCTGGACTCGGAGTGCATCGGAGGCGGCCGGATCCAGCACGACCCGCTGGAGAAGAAGATCAAGGTCTACGGGTACTCTCAGGTAACGCATTTAAAATAGCCATGGCCACCTAAATCAAGTTAATATGGAGTCAAGTAAACACCATTAAATAATTTTATATCATTTTCCATTTCTCACAGCTCATTCCGTTCCTCTTGCAGGCATATCAAGTTAGGTTGAAGACGCTTTAATTTGAATTGTATAGACTTTAAAATAAACAGTTTTCTTTCAAGAGACGAGTACAGAGTACATGACCAAATGGAAAGAACGAGTGAGAGAGAGAACGGGGGGAGGGAGGAGAGGTGAACTATCATTACCGCGTCACTCAGTGTCTTCATTATACTATAGTTCATTATATTATTATTCTGTTGCGTTGGACGGCTACAGACGGTGGGTGACAACTACGAAAGGCAGTACCTTAAGAAAATACTTCCCCACCGTTGAATCTCGGTTACAGGGGAAATGGGTCCTCCCGGACTATTGGGTTTTACAATTTCTCACGGGGTATGGGGGTTTCAGAGCTAAACTTCATGGCTTCGGATAGGATATAGATCCCCACTGCCCCGCTTGTGGTGTTCCGGAGACTGTTGAGCATGTGGTCACGTCCTGCACTGCTTTCAACGAATTAAGAGCCAGATAATTAATGAGAACCACGGGAATTTACGTCCTCGCTGAGGAGTTTCCTAAGTTGGTGAGTGAAGAAAACTTCCCGCGGTTCAAAGAGTTTATAAATGGCTGGAAGACGGCGGTGGGCCCAGCTCACTTCAAGCTAGGTGAACGCAGAAGGAGAAGAGGACCAGTCCCAGGAAGACCTCCGGATTCGGGAAGCCAGGCCTAATTTGGTGTAGAAGGAGGAAAAGTAGAAGAGCTAACTGTGTGCACAGCTTTGAATTTTGTTAACTGATATTATGGCAGTAGTGTGTTATTATGCATTAATGCTTAACATCACACTACTGCATACACCCGTGTTGTCCTGGTGGCATGGGAGGGTGGAAAACAAATAAAATGTTGCGTTGGACGGATGAAATAATAGACAATGCAAAAGAATTGTGCTGATCGGAAATCGAAATGGGGATAGTCAAAGTAAAGAATAATGGCAAAACAAATGGAATAAAGCGAGTTGTAAGAAACACAGTGATATCATATCTTAACGTTGCATCGTATAACATTACCATTACTGCCTCGGGGAGGAGGGAATGGCAAGTGAAGCATGCTCTTTGTGGATTCGAATTATTTTAACACAGAGTCTTTTTTAACTTCGAAAAGTAAACGGGGAGACCAGGACTCACGCAGAATCAAAGGAATATGTTAGTAGTTTGTTTGTGGGCTTTAAGGCGTAAACCCCTAGGGTCATCAACGGCTGTACACATGTTAGTAGTATTGTCTAATAATAAATAACTTTCCATCCATTACACAGTTTTTTGTTAACAATGAAAAAAAAAATGAACCCATAGCGTTACCCAGACCATTTTTTTTTTTTTTTTTTTTACGTGTTATTAATGGATCCAGTTAAGGTAGGGATTCACCCCTTAATTATATTATTAATTTAAAGAAAAGTAAAATAAAATTTAACATCATGTGCACAATCTTTCGGAAAGAACATATGTTGTTGGCATCAACCAGAGGTACCCACAAGGGAAGTTGTGCCATGGAAATTTTTGAGGGGGGCACATTTTGATGGGGTTATAAATTTTCAAATTTTCAGTGAAAAATTTCGAATCAGAGGATAAGAGAAAAGCATAATACAGACCACTGAAAGTGTAACTGTATAATCAACTTGCACTATTTTTAAGTAGAGACGAGAAATAAAATATCTTAGGTATATAAGTAAGATTTAATAACAGTATTTTTCCTCACAACAATTTTTTAAAATTTTATTATGGCGTTTCGGTTTCCACTTTGATATCCCATTTTCAAACAATATCTCATCTTATTTTTTTTTTATAAGATTTTTTATAAGAGAGCCTAGCTAGATACTGATAACCAGAGGAGTCCACTATATTATTTAAGGAATGAATTATTACAATATAAAAATAAAAAAAATAATTATGATAAATCTTGTAAACAAATAAGATGATATTAAGATGAGATACTGTTTGAAGATGGGATAAGAAAGTGGATCCCGAAACGTCATAATACAATAAAGAAAAATTGTTGGGAGAAAAAATACCGTTATTAAATCTTACTTATATACCTCAGAAAAAAAGTATCTCCCTTAGGACTTATGAAGAAAAGAAAATAACTTAGGAGAAGGGGAGTAGCGTCATCGACCTTGAAGAGGTTGGGCATCCCTGGCTTCAACACGGATGGATAGATGAAATCATCAAAGATGCAGTAGATCTGCATACAGATAACTGGACCGAAATAACCCAAGATAGGCAGAGGTTGAGAATTTTAGTTAAGGCAGCAAAGGATCTACGAGGTCTATAATTTCAAAAGAAAAAAATATATATTGAAAAAAAGGAAGTTATCTGAAATAAATTTGTGAGAGGGGGAAGCTTCAGCTCAAAAGCCCCTCCACAATGAATCTGCCATTGTCTACTGCTCTATTTGGGTAGAAACTTAATTATTTATAAAGGATGGTAGGTGAAGATCGGATGATATTTGCGGCGCTCCATGTTTGTTTTACTTTAGACCGCCACACAGCGGGACGAATAAGGGAAAACTCGCGACATTGGCTAAATCAATTTTTTTTTTTCCCAACTTAAAATATTCTCGGAAAATTCACCAATAACATAAGGTTATCAATAAAACAGTTTATTTAGATTTTGGAGTTCTAAAAAAAAATAGATTTAGATAGATTCGAATAGATATCGCGAGTTTTCCTTACTTGTCCACTTTGCGCCACCCTGGCCATCTCCTCTTAGATTAATTTAATTAATTAATAAAATGCTATGAGTTGTTGTTGTTGTTGTTGTAGGGGTTCGGAAAGGCAGACCACGAGGTGTCCGTGGAGATCCTGAAGGAAGTGTACGGGGACTACGACATCACCTGGTCGGACGAGGGCTACTGAAGGAGGCAGGAGTTGACTAACGCTAAGACCGATTGCTCACGTCACAGGCGCAATAAGCTTCCTTAGGCCTAAGCTTACACCCTCTCTCAACATTTCCCAAATATCTCTTTTTAAAACAAAACGTAATTTATAAACGCAGTTTTTTAAATTATCGCTTCTTCAGCGATTTCGACAATTGCCTTTTAACGATAATGTTTCTAATCTCTTAGGAATCTATTGAAATCATTTTGTCAATTTCGTACAAGTACAATCAGTAGGCTAGGTATATCATAATCATAATCTTATGATAAATTTTAATGCTCACAATAGGATTGTATATTTTTAATAATTCGTAACTGGTGTTATCATTAAGGCTTTTAATAAAAATAGCTTCCTTAAAAAATATTTCTTAGACATGCTCAGATATATTGTCTAGCCTTAATAGTTTAATGCAGGGGTGGATCTGCACTTGTGGAGGTCCTAAGCAATGTATTTTTTGTCTCCCCTTCAAAAAAGAAAAAAAAAATATTCCCCTTAGAGGGGTATAATTTTAGCATTTTGTTTTTAAAATTGATTCGATTATTTTATGGAAGGCTCTTTGAACCTTCTAGATTTCAAAATCATTATATTAAAATATTTTATGATCTCAAAGTCCTACACTCGCTTTGCCTGCCTCTGTTTTATGATATTGTTTCGGAGAAAAATATATTATTTATTAATTTATATTTTGTATTGAAGTTTTCCATTGTAGCCTTGTGGTGTGTCTTCATTTTTCATGTTCTTTGTGCGTGCCCAGTGGTTAGAGCATAAACAATAAAGCATTATGAAATAATTGTGTTCATTTATATCCTTTTACTCCCTTAATCTATGTGTGACCGATAAGAGTTTCAGGATAGCGGATATGATTCAACATTATATTAACAGCTGTTGAATACAGCTGAGGTTGTTTGAACAAAAACACATCACAGCCATAAGATGTGTCTCTTGGTTAATAAGTGATCATGTTGAGGATTCTGATCTCTTCGAGAAAAATTAAAATACCATTCATATTAAGAATAAAATTTTCAATTTCATACCAGAATAGTAGTGTAACATGCAACAACTTCTTTCTAGGTTAACTAATAAGGTAAACATTACATTTTAGAATCCAGTTATCATAAATTAAATTGATCTGTTGCTGAGGGTGGTTTTCTAATAGCTTTTAACTATTATGTTATTTGTTTTCTATACTATCTTTTTCTTAATATAATCCCTTTACAAACCAATATATTATAAGAATGGCAGGTTTCATTCAGAGAAATACTATTAAATTTCAATTTAATTACTGACTAGAGGTTTAATGTAATAATTATAAAATTCATGAAAACATCAACAAAAGGTAATTAAGCCACCGGTAGGCTACATGGTGATGGCAGGTACAAGTTACTTCAAAAGGGATCACGATGGAAAAGGGTGCCCGCAGATACAGGGTTAGGGACCCATGCCCTAATAGATTATTTTAAAACTGCCATGGACCGGTTTGCGGCCCAAGGGGCTTAAGATCGATATAAAAATTCTGGTCAATACCTCAAGGTATGAAGAAAAAATATGAAAATGGGGGGTGTGGGAGAGGGGCAATCCATCTGGACTGCGTCTCTATTCATCCCTGATAAATGGGGTGACTAAACCATAACCACCTGCGCCGGCAGGATAGGGCCGCAACTACAAACACCTATTGGCTATCTAATCAAATAAGAAACTGAAGTTGAAATCAATCATATACTTCAAACATGTATCTTCAACAAAATATTTTTTTATTTTTTGTTACTATATTTTGTCACACTAATTTTCACTCACACTATTGGCGTTAGAACTTAATTCATCTTCGGGTTCGCTGATAAACAAAGGAGTGTACACGTAACCATCTTCAACGTACAGGAACTTATTGATGACATCATCTTCACAAAGAGAAAGCTCGACGTCTTTGTTGTGGTCCTGGTTGAGGATGCACTTCTTGTAGCGCTCTGCCTTCCTACGGGCTAAGCCTTCCAACTTCCTCTCCCTCCCAACCATGACCCAGTTCTTGACAATTTTCTTGGCACTGGGGTGTAGGTAAGCTAACAGTTTGTCCTGCACCTTCTGGTCTACCTTTTTTCTATCCAAAGACATAATCTCCCTCCCTTGGTCAGCCTTCTGCAAAATACCGGCGGCGTCTGTGTCATTGGATCCGCCCTTGATTGTTTTTCGCCTCTTTTTGTGGTGGTTTGCGAAGGCGCGCTGTATAGATTCTAAAGAAATGGCGCTTTTTGACGTCTTTCCGGATCCCGTTGACTTCCAATCTTCTTCCGCTTTCTTATCTAATTGACTGACATTATCTTTCCTATCTTTATTGTCTGCTGCTTCAATTAATGTGATATTTTTCTCTTTGAGAGCCTCTAATGAGGCGAGGCTGGCTTCAGAACTGGAATTCTTCGGCTGCGTTTCCTTTTTCACCTTCGTTAATTGACTTTTTCTATCAGTCGCTGCAACAGCATTCTTTTGAGGTACAGGTTTCAACATACAATCTAGCTCCAGTTGAGACTCCTTCTTCGATTTCAACTCAATCCTCGATTTCGAGGTCTTGATGATGGGGGTTGGCTTGAGGACAGAGCAGTCAGGTGGCGCGTCACACTTTCCCTCAGGCATGAAAACTGGTATCGGTGGAGTGGATTTTTCAGGTGGAATGACAATGACCTCGCCTGCGAAAGCGGTGTGAGCGAACGCTGCGGGTTCGAACCCCGGCTCGGTACGATAAGGTTGACCAGCGCTCCCCTGCATGACGGGATTGACATCCTTGGAGATCGAGGTGCCGCTTATTTCCTTCAGCCTCGTTTCCAGCATCCAGTCACTGGCTATCTGCTTGAGCGGCTCCATCTGCTCCACTACACAATTCATCTTCGCCATTTCCTCTTTACACAAATTATCAATTTCTCTGAGTCTTTGTACATAGCGGACCCTGTCAAAATTCTGCCTCGGTTCTTCAGGAGGCTTTTTCGCTGTTGCTATGTCACCCGCATGTTCCTTACTGTTAGGAGGCCTCAAGCTGATCTGACTGATACTCTGGTAGCTGCCGAGATGGTAATCCTCGGAAACTTCGGCCCGCTGTCTGGTGAGGTACTGGGTCTCGGCCTTCAGCTCGGAGAGCAACGTCTTCTCTTCCTGTAGTTTCTCTTTGAGGGAGATCATGTGGGCCCGTAACCGTTCGATAGTACTGCACAAGTAGCCCTGCCGCTCGTCCAACAGATAGTCGCCGCTTGCGTAAATATTGACACCTTCGCACTCAGACATTTTTCTTTTTTAATATATCTTATAACAAACTTGAAATTTGAACTCACATTTTTTTTAATATAACTTATTAGAAAATGATAGGTATATTTTTAATTAAATTTTGACCTCAGACATGTGTTAAAAAACTGAATTTCATGGCAACATAATCTCGATAATGACAATGTCGATTGATAAAAATATACAATTAAATTCATTTTTACTGTTTTTAAATAATAAGACAATGTGGTGTGGTTAGTTCATAGCGATTCTTCTGCATTGCCGTGATAAAGGCTAAATCGGGTTAACGTAACAGTTATTGAAATTCATATATTTGTGAAAAATAAGCTTTAATATAAATGTTCAGTTTCAAATAAAGGGGAGAAAAAATCATTTTGAATTATAGAAATTAGCTGTGTTAAAAAAAAAATTACTAACAGTAACAATATACAAATGTTATTTAAAATAAAGTGAGTTTGGGTGTCAGTGGCCGGCCGATTTTACAACATTTTGCTCATTATATTGCCAAATATATATGCAAGGGATATTATTGATTAATTAACTTACATTGGGAGGTTACCTGTGTGGGATCACAATAAAACGTTGTTCCGAATCCGAATTCGTATTTAAAGAGAAATATATAAATTGACTTGATTTTATTGCAAGATTTGTTTTTCTCCCATACACTGAAGCATTCATAACTCCTCAAGATTTTTTTCTCAATTCAATATTATTATAACTGTTTGAAACATGAGTTACTGTTCTTCCAAACCGTATCAATAACGTCTAGATTTTACATCTGTAAAATACATAAATAAAGAAAAAAGGTACAATAATCCAATTGTCAAGGTCATAACTTTCTGATCCAGATACTGAATTAAATTTCCTCAGTTTTATGTATATGTGTGTCCCTTCATGGTGTTCGTCTGGACAGAAATGCAGAATAACAAAATTTTTACGTTTACTGGATTATCCATTTGTATGAATGACAAAACTTATTAATCCTCTTCCTAACGATAATGTTTGTTTACCTCTGTTGCATTTTGCTGCTTAGAAATAATTCAGTCTTTGCTAAGATGTCAACGCGTGATTTTCGTATAATTTTGTTTTACAAGTTTAAACTGAGCCTGGATGGGACCAAGTCGGCCAGAAACATCAATCAAGTGTGGGACAGTACAGCATTAATGAGTGCACTGTTCAACGGTGGTTCGAAAAATTTCCGGAGGGAAACTTAAGCTTTGAAGGCAGAGAAGGTAGTGGACGCAGAAGAAACCCCAGAACAACTGTTCGAGACCTTGCAAGGCATCTTAACCTTAAAGCTTGAAATTCGAAAGGCGATCGCCCTTTCCCGAATAAACGTATTGAAGGGACGTGAATATCGTTTCGCCCCCCCCACCAATAATTTGAGGCAAAAAAAATTAAAATGAATAATAAATAAGCTAAATGAATGAGAAAAAATGTGTTAACTAAAATCGATTAAAAAAAGCCGACTAGGGTCTAGTAAGTAGTAAGTAGGTATGTAACGATTTTATTGATACCAAAATATTACTTTTATTTAAATTGTCATTTATATTCAAAGATAATTATAAACCTCAATAGCTATCATAAACTTATAAACACTGGTCCGATTTCCTGCAGAATTGTAGAAAATTTAATTTTTTTTTATTTTTTTTAAGTAAGTCATCGTTTTTGATGAATAGAAAGCGATAACTAAAATATAATTTAATACAGTTAATTAAAAATTGATTTATAGTCAACTAGACATTTTTTTCAAACGATAGTAGATTTTGTCATTTTAAAATCATTTAAAGAGGACTTTTAAGGTGATAAACTATGATAAGCTATGTTCTGTTTTAAAAAAAATCATGAATTACTTGCAATTTTTATTTTTCACCCTCCAACTATATTACAAACACTCTACTTTAAGAAAAAAACTTTTGTTTTTAGTAAGCTTTGGGTGCATATTAATTAAGTTGTGGGTTTATTACGAAATAAGTTGAAAATCACCTCAAGTTGTGTAAGTTTTGATATCATGTTACATTAAATTACCCCAGTTTTGTACAAAAATTACTACAATAAATCATTGCAAAGTTTTAATTTATTTGTTCCCATTACCTGGGATGTATTATCATAAAATAAATCAATAAATACAGTTTTTATGTATTACAATAAAAATGTTAAAAATAATTATTTTAGAATATTTATCATCTAAAGTGTAATCAAACTGAATTTTTTTATCAAGCTATGTATTATAGAAATTTATTCATATTTATAAGTGATAAATTAAATGTTTCCAATCCTAATGTGTATGTCCCACTTACTGGCCAAAAGATCCTAACCACAATCTCGAACTCTTAGATTTTTTCATCCACAAGTCTAGGGTCCATTAATTATTACATTTCAAGACTTGATGAACTATAGATCGATAAGCTTACTCCCGATCCTTTTCAAACACGTCCTACCCATATTCGAATCCCACAATATCCCTTCTGATCAGTTTGGATTCCACTCAAGACATTCCAATGTCCAACCTTCGCATTGTGGACCATATATATGCTCTGTACTTGAAAACAAGCAATATTGCACTTGGACATAGCACAAGCTTTCGACCGGGTATTCCTTGCTCGACACACGATGGCTTTGTTTTCAAGCTCAAAACCTATTTACCCCAACCTTTATACCTAGTCCTCAAATCCTACCTTTCAAGTCTGCTGCGGCACTGAACTCGTCAAACATTATCCAAATGAGGCTGGTGTTCCACAAGCCAGTCTTGGGCCCAGTTCTCTTCATCCTCTTCACTGCCGACATCCCTTCAAGTCCCGATACCTTCCTAGCAACATTTACTGATACTACTGCCATCCTATCCTCCCACTCAGATCCTCTACTAGCATATCGAAACTTGTAAAGACACCTCTCCGTGATTGAGGAATGGTGCAACTACTGGCGCATCAAAATTAATGAATCATAATGTAAACATGTCACTTTCACTCTTCGTCGCAGATCCTGTCTACCAATTATTTTTAATTTAATTCCTCTTCCCTACTCAGACCCAGTCCGATACCTAGGCTTCTTCTAGACAAAAGAACAATAGTCAATGCTCCATATTATGTCATGAAAAAGGCCCTACACCATGATCTTAACATCCCATATGTTCTGGACATCATCCCATTCAGATTCTCAAACTTCCACCAGAACCTTATTTACCATCCTAATCCCTATTCAGCTCCGAGCATCCATTCCATCCTTCTCGAAGGTTAAAATGGCAGTGGGCTCAAGATCTCTTGTAAATATGCTTTTGTTGTCCTGGCAATGGCCAGCTTCTCCACTCAAGTCCTGAGCGTTTGTGGCTCTAGTGCCCTCTTTCAGTCTCCACTGGCTTCTAATACTAGTGATGCAGCTGGAAAAGTGGCACCGGGATCCCCTGGAGTCCTGCTTTGCCTTCCACCTGTGGAGGATAAAGCCTGGCTCAGAGATTCCTGGGCGATTGTATATTGGTATGAATGTGAATTTCATGTAAATAATTTAAACAAGCAAGCAAGCAAGCTTCTTTATTTTACATAGAGATATTAGGATTGGAAATGTTTAATTGGTCACTTATTAATAGGGATCAATTTGTATAATACAGAGCTAATAAAAAAACACAGTTTAATTATCATTTTAAATAATAAATATCATTAGTTTTAACATTTTTTTTGTAATAAATAAAATGTGTATTTACGAACTATTGAGCATTAGGATTTAATAAATAAACTAACAGTCAGGTTTTATTTATGATTTTATTGAAAAACAATACTATAAATAAATGTCATAAATTTTGCATAAAAAGCTGGTGTTACATGCTTATTTTATTCATACTAGATCTAATTTACAACAATAACCTTTGCAAAAATAAATATTGTAAACATTTACTAAGTTAAATGCAATAGATCTAAATGGGTTTATGACATACAATTTAACTGTAATTTAATATTTTTCTTTCAAATATACAAATACCATAATACTCAAAATTAATCTATTAAATGCAAGTTGACACTATGAAAGCACAAACATAACTCTTAAGTCACAACCCACGCTGGAATCTATACATTTAAGGATGGAATTGTTAACCTGGTAACAGTGATGTGGTAATTAGGAAATATAATAAATGCCATTAGAATATTAATATTAGTACACAGATTAGGAATATTAAGAAACCTTGAAACCTCATCCTTAATCTTCAACTCATAACCAACCAGAGCTATTAATGTAGTGTATAACAAAACTGATAATGAGATACACTTTCCGATATTACTAATGATAATTTTCATCCTTTTGACCTCACATCTCCCCTCTATCTGTCATGCTTACCCGTTTAATTTTCTTTTAAAGAAAACAAATCTTTGTATACCTATATTTTTTTTTTAGATACTTTTACTTATATTGATATATTTTTCATAAAAAATAATATTATATCCAATATACTTCTGAAAGCAATAGATTTACTATTTTTCCAAACAGAAAAAAAACTTATGTCAAAACTCTACTAACTACTCTAAAATTTTAATTTTATTCTATTTAATCTGCATTCTAACTCTTGAAACTTACATTACAACAGATGAGTTTTCTAGGTTCTTTTCAGCCTTGGAGATTCAACTTTAAGAAAGAAAAAAAACATAATACAAAACAATTCAATGCCTCATTAAGTTCTTCCTTGGTAAACTAACCAGAACAAAAATTCATCAAATTGATTCAGTGAAGCTACTTTATCCAAATTTAATCTTTTATATATTTTACAACTAAGTAAGTATTCTTATAGAATCATAAAAACTACACATAATTTTATCTACGATATCATAGAGTGACATTAGGTACTTACTGGTATAATGAAAAATAAGAGAAACACATGCCAATTGCTTTCTAGGAAACACTAATATTCACTTAGCTACAATATGTGAAATTTGCTTATTGGTAATAGGGCAAAGAAGTTTAAATGTTATTAGTTTCACCTTAGTGCAAAAAATATAATACAATAGTTCACTTAACAATGATTATTTAAATAAAATTTTAGTACAATTCTAAAACATGTTTCCTCTGAGAACAGCAGTCCATTAATTTGGAAGACATCTTTTAAATACTTACAAAAATCTACTTCAGGTATGATTACCTGAATCTATCGGAGAAAAAGGCTTTTTGAGACACTAAAAGAAGGTATAACCTTTTTTTTATTTCTCTAAGAGAGAAGTGAGATAGAGAAATTTACAAGTGTTTTAATCTATTCTACCACTAAATAGTTATATATTTTTCCAAATAATCATCATCAGACACTGTATTTTTAGGTAATTTTGTATTTCACCCCTATGCATATCTATTAAGCACCTATTGAAATATCAATATTTTCATTAAAACCATTTTTGATTAATTGGCAAATAATATGCTTATTGAACTGTTATTCAAATTAAAATATGCCTAACGAATATAGGGAGTTTCATACTCCCAGCTCAGCCCCCTTGTTTCATAATTTCAAAGTGAAACTTGGTAGGTCTTAGTTATGGTAAATGGATTTTCTTTTAATAGTAATGTTGACGTGGTTACCTGTTGCAATTCTTCTCCTGTAT